TATGCGTGTACTTTTGTACATCGATAACGATGAAAAGCAATTGATCATTTTATATGTTAATTAGTAACTGTACACACCAAATGCAGTGGCAACACAAAAAAGAGAATCATTCATAAAAGTTGCTTCAGCGTAGTTATCAGCGTCCGGATCCCAATAGCATCGATATGCAACCTTCACTCCTTGACCTCTTTGTTCACCTATAACAACTTGAACCAGATACCGGTATTTCGACAGTGGGAGATTCTTTTTGAGTGAGTACTTTATTTCGTCAGCAAGTGCGGTGCACTGTTCTATCGAGTTAGTTCGATGGGACTAGGACTCACCATGTGATTTTTCTACGGAATACTGTTCATTCGTCAGCCGTTCCTTCAATATTTCATTCAAGAAGGTTTTGACAATCGACGGCCTGAACTTCTGATCAAATTGTGGCCGTATTATATACGAGTTTTCTCTGTCATTCACTTTCGTTCCATTATTACCAGTAGTGGTTTCCATTATTTGAAACACGAGCCGTTGCGGTTGCCATAGGTGCAGTTCAGGTCAGGTCAGGTTGCACAGGACTGATAATGGCCACGGCCAATCGAGCGTCCAGATTTCTTCCGGCAGTGTGCTCACAAAGTGTGCACCCACCACTGCAAATTGCCTTCAGAACACGTCCTTGCTGAAAGGGAAGGAAAAAGCGCGTCTCCTTTCACCTCATCGGCGAACAAGGGACATGGATCAAGAAGGCGTTCCATAATACATTAAAAATCTTATTCTGGAAAGAGCTCTAACAATCGCTCATCCAGGGCACGCTTAAACGAAGTCACCCTTCCTAAGTCTACTAATTCCTTTGGCAACCTGTTCCAACTGCTCACTACTCTGTTACTGAAGAAGCTGGATCTAACAATCAAGTTGCAACGCTGCTTATGTAACTTGTACCCGTTCCCTCGAGTTCAGTTCATTTCAGTTTGCACAGGACGAAAGTGGTCGAGACCACTCGTGCGTCCAGAACGTTGTGTTGTCAGCTAGTTTCCTTGGCTTCCAACACTGCTCAGGTCGGGTCACAGGACTTGTTGCTCGAGCCAAAATATGTGTAGTGACCATGATTGTACG